CTATCCTTTATAAATCACCAACTAGTGATATTTTATCATAACAAATTTTTTTACAGAAATGAATGCGTCCCTCTTTCCCATATATATACCTGGCTATTTCTTTTTGACCTTGAGGACTTGTCCTGAATCAATTGAAAAAAAATGCTTCTTATGCAATAGTAAACTATATATATATTGCTCGAAAGTATTTTCCTCAAAATAGTTACAAGTTGTGACATAAGAAGATTTAAATTATAATTGGACGTGGTATTGTTCAAAGACCTTGACCTTGAATTAAGACAAGCTTTGAGGACATCAACAAAATGCTCAAGATTGAAGTCTTTTCAAATAGAAACTCTAAAGCTTTACCCGGGTCCGATTTCAATATTTATTAGTAGTGACGTTGCATGACCTTTGAGATATGGTCCAGAGTCAACATCATGACACAGCTGAAAGTTTACTCGAGGTTTGATTCATTTCATATAATTAAGGGATCGAGTTCACTTTCTCTTTATCAGTAACCTTAACCTTTAAGATTTGACTGCATTAAGGTCATTAGATACCTTTAAGTCAAAGGTTACAACATATTATTGTTTGCATGCATTCCGGAGTTCATGTGAAAGACAGATAACTATATATACCTTAAACCAAGATGTTTTGTTGGTTTGGGGTATGCTCAGAGAGTGTATAATACTGAACATGTCAATCAAAATAGCCTCCATCCCAACTTCGTTCGATTTAAAGAACATAGGGAAAAGAAAGTGTGGGGATCCCCCCTTTTTATATTTACAAGTTTTATCATAGTGTCTTTAACTAATTAACAATTTTCAATTACCAATATGTAATGACCCGTACTCATTAGCAATTGAAAATTGTTTTGTAGTTAAAAACATTAGGAGAGGGTATCATGTCATACAATCCCCTCGCCAAAATGGAGTCCTCTACCTTTGCCTCTGTTCACAAATCTGTAATTAACTCATATTTAGAAGATAGATATTAAAACTTTATTCACTTTTAATAAATCATAGAAAATAGTCGATTTTTGTAAATTTTTGTGTTGGTGTTTTATTTTTTTTAAATGAATGCATTTTACTATAAACTGTTCTCATTTTTTCATCTTACAACAAGTCTACATTGATGTTTAACTGAAATATACAAAAAGTGAAAACTTAGAAGTCAATCAAAAAGATATTTTCTGTACGTTCTTTGGTCAGTTGTTAACATTTTCTCGTTTTACATATATTCACTTTTGCTATTTAGCGATAAATAAAACGACAGAAGGCATTTTGAACTGATCTTCATATTAGGTTGTACACAGCGTGTTTATTAATTTTTCTGAGCAGGATATCCGTTCTACTGCTCTAACAAGGACGACATTCCTGATTTCCATTCATAAAAATAATTTTAGTACATAATTAATCAAACAATTTCTTTTGTACGTGTAAGCTGACTTTTCATACAAGTTATAAACATTTATATTTCCAACCCTTTAGGCACAGACCAGAGGATTGTTCGAAGATGAAAATTCTTCACAGAATTACAGGTTATAATATCTCGATTTAAAACAGAGATAAGCAAATGAACAAACCATATTGTAGTCAGCTGAAGAGGAGTGTACGGGACTTCATGTATGCGTAAACATGTGAGGTAATTAGGATGAAATTAATTTAATTGTCTAAGAAAACCTTGAATAATTCAGTAGAGGGAAGGAATAATTAGCTAAGTAGTTTCTTATACAAGTTTTCTTCAACTGTAATTTTTTTTTTCTAGGAACCTACATTAGATAAGACTCGACACCTTGTTGGGTATTGGAGGATTTCAAAGTAAATCATTTAAGTTGCTTTTTTCACATGAAAGGGCTAAGAATGCCTACTCAGAATCTAATAATTTGACGCATTTTATGCCACAAATACGAAGGTGATAATCGTTTTACATAATAATACTATCAACAAAATGTCTATGTACAATGATAAAGAATTAGATATTTGGATCCTATAGAAAAATTTTATTGTGAAATGGATGGAAAGTTTAAGTAAAACAGATCAACAAACTAAACAATTCAAATCAAACTACACTAAAACCTTCCCTATTTCATACGTCTTAATGATTGTCACAAATGTGAATGTAGTGTCATCTAACTATGTAGATAAACTTATTCATTAATTAATTAACTCTGTGAAGTTCCCATGACAATGAAGAATGAAGAGTCACAGATGTCTGACTAATGGTCTTTATGATAGTTCCCATAGTCATACATCTCAGACTGGAATATATCCAACAAAAAAGAACTGTTCCTAACATATAAGCTTTCAAAAATTGTTTGACAAATTCCAGCTTCGTTATTCATGAAAGGTTGAGTTTTGTGCATGCAGGATAGACTTCAGAATTTCATTTTAACCTCAACTTTTGCCCCTTTTTGTGTTTGTGACCTCAATTTAGCCCCTTTCAGGTATCAATGGCCTCAGTTTGGCCCCGGTCTGATTTTTATGACCTCTATTTAGCCCTGGTCTTGCTCTGACTTTAAAGAGCCTCCCTTAGTTTACATATGATTATATATTTTGAGCTGGGTGGCACAAAAGAATTATTTCTGAATAAGTATACCCTATTTTACCACAAATATTCTTCACTACCTCCCAGGGGAAGAAATCTATCTTAATGTACGACTGACAAACGAAGGGGAAAGAATTGTTATAAGAGAAGACTTTCTCATGCAATGGTAGCTAATTAATTAAGAAAAATACTCTTGAAAAAATTTGGTTTATGTATACAACTGACTTTATCAAACGCAGAATCTGTCACTGTAATAATACATGTTTACTAAATCACCCAGGATGATGTGAATCTTGCATCTAGTACGCATTTGACCATCTAGCAATCACGGTCTCTAGTACATTACATGTAAAACGACAGTTTGGGGTAAAATGGTGAATGTATTTCAAACATTACATATTGTTAATTGAATACGCTATGGAAATAAATGGATCGGTAAGACCTTTTCATATAACACAAGGAAATATCCCCTGTGACATAATACTAATATATACATGTATACCATACAAAAAAACATCATTCTAAGTGCTCTCACGCACAGTTGCCGTATTTTATGTAGAATGTTAAAAAATCTATATCCATTTTTTGCAACCTTTTATCATTTTGTTTTTAAATACAATAATGCTAAATCGATTTATGTACACTTATATCAAATTATCAATATTACAAATACTTGACATTTATTACACGTAGATTTTAATCTCATTTTTCGAAGGATTGGAATCCCGCAATACAGTCTGCATATGGTGTAATACTCTCACTCTGTATCAAGTTTGGACCTTCTTTAGAACCACACTTCCTCCGATTATTACTATTTTTCTTTATGTGACTTTTCTTTTCAGAGGTACTTATCTTTCATTTTTCTTAGTTCTCCCAAATAACTGAAAAATTAGCATAGTCTAGGAAGGGTCCTCTTAATACAATATAGAAGAAAGGCCAACGGAATCTGTCGGTAGTCAGTGTTAACACAGAGAAGTATTAACTGCACTCTGTCATATCCTTGCCTGCATTTCCTGTCTCATACATTATTAAATTTTACGACTTAATGGGACTCCATAAAAAAGAAACCCAAGCACTCTTTATCTTAGCGGATTAAACATATCTGCATGACTTCGCTTTGCTTCTAATATCCAATGAGATCAGAAACAAACGGGTTGTAATAGTTTCTCATGTTATCTATATACACGTCATATTAATCTACATAAAAATATTCCGTAAACGAAATCTAACGCCCCCTTTAATGTATCAGTTGAACTGTTGTTCACATTATTCAACTTGCCTGAAATCTTTTTTTTTTTTTTTTTTGAACTCAAAAAATGTCGGTCTCTTATAACATTTCACAATATTATTAGCGATTATCAATATGAATAAGTAATTCACACCATAGGCCGGAGGAGAATTTTTTTGTTGATTACAATGGGGAAAGAGCTGCTAACAGTCTTTTTTCCCGATACGACCATTTAGCGTAAATCAACTTTGTTGGAAATGAAGATGCTTTGAGATCTGAGGCTTTTTGTTGCAGGAACAACTGAATGGCTAGGGACAGAAGATGCAGTATGAGCTTCCTTGATTAATCCCCCATTTGTTGTTAGGCCCTTCACCTGAGGAATTCCCCGGCATCTCTACTTTTATAACAAACTATCGTTTCCGTGGACAAAGTGTACAATAGGGACTATTTCAAAGCCCATTTCTGTGATCTACCGGCTTGATTCACAAAGATGTATTGGTATTTTATTAATTTTTTTATTTGTTAAAGAGTACTCGTATATGAATAATTTGGACATATACTATAATTAGAATTGTTAATTGAAGAAAGTTATAGTACTCTTGTATATAGGTCAGATTTGAAAATGATTGTTTGAATACAATTAAATTTAATATTTTTACTAAGATGTATGTAAGAAAACGTACTTAACACATTATCAACAATGTTTTATATATATCTTACATCACAAATCAATAAAACATGGAAAAAGTATTTGATAATATAGTCTTTAATTATTTTACATTTGTATAATTCAGTTACTTAGTTTGAATGATCCATCATTATCTTGTTTAAAAAATTGTTCACAAAAACTATTAACTCGGGGGATTGGAAACAAATATCATTTCGGAGATATTATAGAAGAAGAGGACAGCGAGGCTTTTTAATTAGATTTACAACAGATGTTAATAATCTTGATTGTCAATCCTATATTATTTCTCACACAGTGGAATAAATCTTTTTATTAAAAAACGAAACGGAAAAAATAGTAAAATGAAGGATTTGTGAGTGGAAATAAAACAGTCTAATGCCATGATGATTTTGGAAATTTAGAAGGAAAGTCAAGAAAATATGTACATAAATCTGAATGTGCAAAACACAACACCAAAATACTTACTGGCTTAATTTCCAATTGTCCTTATATTAATCACAATCACTCAAAATACAAAACTATTATATATATCATTCCAATACGTTTTCACCATACCTTTTTAGTTAATAAAAAAATATCTAGTCCTCCTTTAGTTTTTGCTGGAATAATTCAATTGTTTTCCCTCTTGTATGACTTCAATTACCAAAAAATTTTTACAAATATTAATCGCGTTTCAAAAGTTCCGAATGCCTGGTACCGATTATCACTGCGCATGCTATATAACGCTTCTGAACAGCAGCGACATCTCGGAGAGTTAACAGAAATGCTTCTGTTCTCGCCTACACAGGGATTATGAATAATAGATACACAGCCTTAGTAGATCTGGACCGAGGAGACGCAGACGACCGCTAGTCAACGCGGGAAAAAAAGTCCGGAAAACCAATAGCTTAGACAACGGACGACGTGCGAAGCGTTATCTTTTGACGTAAGATTATTTGCATCTAATTTTCAAGTAATTGGTAAGCAATAACCGAATCCAGAGAGATGCTATGGTTTCGGACCGAGAATTGTCTCTTGGGTATTTCTTTAACAAAAAGAGAATTGTATTTTGTGGCAGGTACTCTGAGAAAGGTGATATAATATTCAGTAATGAATAAATTATCATGTTTGGTTTGGCCTGGTCTGCTGAACAAGGAAATAAGTGCACTTGGTGAAATAAAAAAAAATTGACGAATGGCATTATTTTGTTATTTATGTCGTTGATTCGGCATACAAGTTATTTTTTCATATAATACAGTTTAGAAGTACATGTATATACCATGGTTACCCGAAAGAAGTCCAACATTTCTGAATATATTTTTTCTCTTTTCCAAAAAATAAATAAATAAATAAAAATTTTTAAAAATGTCATCGTACTTTAAGTATTTTTGGGTGTAATCTAAGTTGGTCATTAGATCTTGATCTAAGTTAGTCTTTAAATGAAATAAATTACCCTGATTAAAAAGTGTATGATCATTCAATGAATTTAATGGAAATAGAAATCACAATCAGAGTAAAAGTGAGTTATATATTCGTTTTTAATTAATTCTATCATAGTTTACGATGCGGATATACTAAAACATGTGGATGCCTGGATTATATTGGTCATCATTGCAAGCAGTGAATTGTAAGCACTATCTACAACGATTTCCTCACGCTCGAGGGTTAACTCTATGTACTAGTATTTCTAAAGGTGTCCATCGTTTTTTGTTTTTTTCAATTTTAGGTTTTTTTGGGGGAAAAGTACCGAGTCATTTGTTTCCGAAAAAGTGCTATTGTAAAATTTTCTGAAAAGTGAAAATGTTAATTTCGGGGGAAAAAATTAAAATTTCCTGAAATTGATTTTTTTCCAGAAAAGAACATCCAATATTTTGAAAATATCCTAGTGCTTCCCCCTCCCCCGAAATGTCCTTCATTCATATTTATGACTAGTCTTGTTTATTTCCACAAAAAAAGCGACAGGTTTCTGGAACATTTTCTTATTCTGTAATATGTTTTAATTTTTTTCTTCCTTTGCAATTAAATAATGTGCTACGGACACCCAGTATGTGTAGAAAATGGAAAACATCTTGCGAGACATGGTCCAAGATTAGAACAATGTGCTGTGCTTTTTGAACATTTGAAGGAATGAATTGTGTTTAAAGCATTGGTTCTTCTCTTTCTGATACTCTGCTGTAAAAAATAAAGAAATACATGTAAAAACAATTTCGACGATAATTTTTCCATAAAAAACAAACTGCATATGATATAATAATTAAACTAGCAGTAATCAATGTTGCTGGCTAAAGTACATTGCATCACTTCAATGCATAAGTTGTGTTTAAAATTTCACGTGCCAAAAATCCAACCGTGAAGAATCAATCATGACTATTTGATTTTAAAGTTATAGCAAATCCATTTATTGATGAAAAGGTTTTTTTTTTTAAATTTCCAATTGTAAATGTTCAGGTAAACTAGCAAAAATTACAAAACTTAGCTTTTTACAGTATAATTTTATGTCTAGACTGAGTCGATAGCTTCAGCAAAGCCAACCTTAAATGATCTATTGTTCTGTACTTTATCTTCGCAAAAAGATATTATCTGTTTGAAATAGATATTACAAATGATTTGGCAGAAGCTAGCATGTGTATAAAAAAAGATATAACAACCGGATGTTATCCTCAATCACAAGTAACCCCCAACCTATAGCAAGCATCTAAATCTTTTTCACTTCAGCAGAATGTAATTGTATTACGTAATATTCGATCAAATGCGATTTGGCATTATTTAAGGAGAAATTGTACTATTGAGAAATGGAGACGTTTACAAAGATAATGTAAAACTAGATGTTGTCATAAGACAATAATACCCGCACGTAGGTGTTTGCCTCTAAATATACTCACCTTCATATTTAGTAACCAGAGAAGAAGCCACAATAATTCTATAATTTATAGATTAATATATTAAAGGCAGTTTTCGACCCCCATCGCCCTCAGAATGGCAATCAAAATTCCGGAATCCAAATGCACATCTACATGATACCCCCAGTCATAATCCAATATATGAATGGGCTATTGCGAAAAATGTAAAAGGAGTTCAGGAAACAGTCTTTTGTCGAAAAAAGGACATTTTTCGACCCCTACTAGGCCCCTAGGGTGAAAATGAAATATCCGAAAGCTTATTGCACATCTACAGGACACCACCAATCACCTTCCAAAAGATGAGTTGGCTAGTGCTAAAAATGTCAGCGAAGTTCTCAGGGAACAAGGTTTTTGTCGAAAAATGACACATTTTGACCCTAATTCACCCGGCTGTAAATTGAAATATTAAAACCTTAATGCACATCTACTGGGCACTCTCAACCATACACCAAAATATAAATGGGCTATATACTGCAAAAAATGTAAGAGGAATACAGGGAACCAGGTTTTTGTAGAAAAACGATGATGGCCCCTAGAGTGAAAATGAAAATTCTTGTAAATCTTACTGCAGATCTGCAGGACACCACTAATCATATTCCAAAAATGAGTTGGCTACAGAAAATAATTTAAGAGGAGTTCAGGGAACCAGGTTTTGCTAGAAAAACGTCGTGATTTGACCCCCAATTACCTCCCGGGGGTAAAAATCGAAATTCCAAAACTAAATTGCACATCTACAGGACAATCTTAATCATATTTCAAAACATGAATGGGTTACTGTACAAAACGCAAGAGGAGTTCACGGAACCTGGTTTTTGAAGAAAAACAACACACTGTTTTTAACCCCCCCATATGGCCAGAAAGGGTAGAAATGAAAATTTCAGAATCTTTTTGTCCATGTTCAAGGCACCAACAATCATATTCCAAAGATGAGTTAGTTACTGCTTTATATGCAAGAGTACATTTAGTTTGAGGAAGAAGAAAATGTGACAGACGGACGGAAAACGATAACAACAATATACCTTAGCTTTCTTTAGAAAGTGCGGGTATTGGTCTCCCTAGTTATACCTTATAAAAGAAACGTAAGCATTTCCATGAAAATAAGTCATTGTATCGTTATTTTTTTTCCATAAAAAATGTTAAACGATTTCAGTGAGAAGATATTTCCCCCTCTTTATTTATTTATTTGGTTTGTTTGTTTTGTATGGCTTTATTTCATTTTGTGTGTGTATGTATTTCTAATTTATCAATCAAATCGCCGTTTGAGCGTACAATTTTAATTTTATATGAAAAATTACGTACAGTTATCTTCGAAGGCCACTTTATTCAGAAAAGAACAAATCAATCATTTTATGGATCATTTTTCGAAAATTTCACCTCTATCGGATGAATGTAAAATATGAAAACCCTTATTGTAAACATGATCCTGAGCTGTTTTCAATATGTTGTGAAAGGTTTCTACGACCTCAAATGGATGTCAACAGTAGAATTTTATTTAAGTGGTTGTTTACTGTTGACTATTACTTTTTCGGTAGTTGGTGGTTGTCACATTTCAGACAATTATCGCAAAGGTAGGAGTTTTTCCAAACACGTTACTGATTCAGGTAATTACACGATAAAAGCACTTGATAATACTTAATAACACCATTGTCCACAGATTGCAGAAATTTAACAGTCAAAATCGATTGATCATCTCCTGACGTAACGATACCATTTTATTCAATACAAAGAGCTCTGATAGTCTACGGGTCTTCAGCAGCGATAAAAAAAAGACAACTCAAACTGGGGAAAAGGGTTTAGAGGTATACAACGTATTTTTGGTCCTATTTTAGAGATTTTTTAAACTTCCTCAGTTGTTAAAAGAAATACGCAATGTCTTACTGTGTCTAATTCAATGAAACGATAACTGGATGTTGTCATAAGACAGTAATACCCGCACTTACATTGTAGGTAGCGGTGTTTGCCTCTTAACGCTCTCACCTTCATATTTTGGTAACAGGACAGAAGCCATTAAAATTCTTTCATTTACAAAAATGTGGGCTTTTAACGCCAAATCAATGCCTGGGTGAAATCGAAATACCAAAACCTAAATGAACATCTACAGGGCACACCCAGATTTCTTCCAAAATATGATTGGGCTACTGTGAAAACTTTAAGAAGAGTTTCAGGGAACTAGGTTTTGTTTTTTAAAAAATTATATTTTTACCCCCATTTGCCGCAGTGAAAAATCAAAATTCTGAAATCTTATTGACATCTACAGGACACTCTCAATTATATTTCAAAAAATGAGTTGGATACTGCAAAAAAAAAAAAAAAGGAAAAAAATGTAAGAGGACTTCATGGAACCAGGTTTTTGTAAAAACCCTCGTTTTTCGAACCAAGTCGACCTCCGGGATGAAATCAAAATTCCAAAACCTTATTCCACATCTACAAGACACTCGCAATCACATTTCACAATAAGAATAGACTACTGGGAAACCAGATTTTTTTAAGGAAAAAACGACGCTTTTTGATCCCCCAACCCCCAAGGTAAAATCAAAACTCCAAATCCTCATTGCACATGTATAGGAGATCACCAAATATATTCCGAAAGATGAGTTAGCTTCTGCTAAAAAGGATTAAGAATAGTTTTTGTAGAAAAATGTTTTTTGGCCCCAATCGCTCCCAGGTTGAAAATCGAAATTCCAAAACGTTATTGCACATCTAGAGAACACTCCCAATAACCTAAAGTTGGCTACTGCAAAAAATGTAAGTAGTTCAGGGAACCAGGGGGTTTTTGTAGAAAAAAGTCGTTTTGACCCCCAATCGCCTCGTTGGTGAAAACTTAAATTATGAAACCTTATCTACAAGGCACCATCGAATACATTCCAAAAGATGAGTTGGTTACT